TTTTTGAGACAGGGTCTCCCTATGTAGTTGACACTGACGTGGAACTCACTATATAGCCCAGGCTGGTCTCAAACTCACAGCGATCCTCCTGCCTCAGCCTCCCCAGTGCTGGGATTACAAGTGTGTGCCACCATGCCAGGACCCTGGCTTATTTTTGAGGCAGGGGCCTCACTACATTGCCCAGGTTGGCCTCAAACTCCTGGGTTGAAGTCATCCACTTGCCTTAGCCTCAAAAGTCGCTGGGATCCTTTTGTTTGTTTTGTTTCTTTGAGACAGCAGTGCCTGTATGTAGTCAGTCTAGCCTTCAACTCAGTAGCCTAGACTGGCCTGGAACTTGATATGATCCTCCTGCCTCACCCTCAAGAGTGCTGGGACTACAGCCGTGCACCATCATGCCTGGCCACTGAACCCACTCCACGTCAGCTCCCACATTCACCCTCCGCCATCCCATTGTGCCTGTTCAGAAAGGTCCCTACCTGGGCGGTTGCAGCTCTCCAACTCCAGAGCCTGCCCGGCCCAGGAGCAAACAATGCTGCCTTTACCGCGGAGTTTTTCGGTCACACTCGAGTGCGGCTCTGGATTCCCCGCCAGGCTAGGCAGGCAGGCCCTGGCCTCTCCCTAGTGCGCTCCTACCGGTGATGGTGGTGGTCACGGAGCGCGGGGCTCTGGAGGCCCGGGATGCCGGACGGAAGGCTCGCGAGCGTCACACTCAGCAGCGCCGGCGAGCGGATTATTTCCCCACTGCACCCTTCCCCAGCTCGCGGCCGACCTTGCCGTCCTGCCAGGTGTCCTAGACAGAGCTGGGCTCTGGTGACGGGTAAATCGAATCGCGCCACCTGTTCCAAACCCCCACGCGCAGTGGCCTCCATCTCAGAGCTCAGTCCAGACTCTGGTTCTCAACCCTGGCACTGGGGATCGAACCCAGCACTTTCACACTGAGCCATGCCCCGCCCCCGAACTGTGAGACAAGATCTAAATTCTAATTTGCCCAGACTGGGTTCTAATGTGCCATCCCCCTGCCTCAGCCTCCCAGAATGCTGATTTCAGGCCTGCACTGCCCGCGTGGGCAGCTCCAAGTCCTCACAACGCCGGCCCCGTCCGTCCTCCCCGGAGACCTAGCTTCCGCATCCGTCTGCCACGCCTCCCCTCTGCTGACCAATCACGGCGACCTCTGTGCTGCCCCAGCACAGCTACCAGCGCAGGGCGGACAGCGGAGCAGGCAGCTTACTCAAGGCTCCCTAGACCTCCGCACCCCTCCAGGGCATCACCCCAGCCCCTGGCCCTCTGCTCCGGGGGCTTGAAGCACGCCCCGCACTATACATCATGCATCTTACGAGTTGCTCCAGGGGAATTTTTGACTCTTCCATTACTGCTGACACACGGAATGGGGCATGAATTTTCCTGCTCCAGGGACCCAGCAGGAGTAAGCTCCGACACTTACCTGCCCCCCTGCCAGGAGGCTCCCGGGCTGGGGGAGGTGGCCGACTGCTCAGTAAGGAGGGGGAGGCTGAAGCAGGCGGAGGAGGTGCGAGGCCCCGCACAGGCCCCGGTGTCTTCCTATGCAAAGAGTTGTGTCTCTGCGGCAGCTCAGGGGCCAACTCGTTAGTGGGACTGGAGGGCCCATTGGGGACGCTGGGAGGCTGGCGGTAAGGCGGCGGCGGAGGGGCCAGAGACTGGCCACTTGGTCCCACGCGGAGGTTCACAGGGGAGGGCGGCGGCTTGACCGGGGGT